CATTACTCAGACCTTTCCCAAGAACTCCCATCATCCTCAGCATTCCAATGATCCTCACTAACTCCATGTTCTTCACAAAAGATATCTCTCTCTGTCGCCTACTGAAAATTGATTTTCCCCTACTTTTTCTCAGAAAGGAACTAAATGTGAAATAAAAAAACAGAATTTGGGAATTTTTTTAAATAATTGCCAGACATGGCAACGTTGACTGAAAGCACTACATATACTATCTCTGGTAAACTGGTTCGTTATAAGAAAAGTGTTTCAATAGAAATGATCACATTAAAAATATAAATACAGGACCACATATGATTTTCTGTAGAAACAGCACAGTATCATCCACAAACAAATGACGGTGGCATGATTGATAATAGACATCATAGCAAATGCTAAATGTTTATTAACAATTGAAAGTTAATTCCAGTCTGTTGTACCATGTGATTGAATGCAATGACAAATGAACCTTAAATAAAAGTGAGAGGAAAACAAAAGAAAGGAATGAGGTTGAGTCTCACTGCAACACTTATCACAAAGCTCCAGTCTGAGAGTAAGAACTGTACTCTTTAAATGGAGCTGCAGCGATCTGTCCTCAGATGAATGGTGAAATGCCTTGTGCATTACACCATCACCAAACCACAGGAACGTTTTCATTACTGGTCGCAGCTTCCGGAACTGCCTGTGCACCTGTATTTACAATAGCCAACATCTGTTCCTGGAGCCGGAACAGCAGAATGATATGTGTTCTGAAAGTGCATACACACGCACACACACAGAACAAGAATGAATGTGCTCACACATTGCAAACCTTCCGGATGAGCGCAGGAACTCACACAAATGCACAGAAAACATGTTCTAGAACCTGTTATAATAAATTGTACAATAACTTCTGTGTATTTTCAAACTGTGTGTTTCTATTTAAGTTACAACACACAAAAACGTGGACTTTTGTTAGCTTTCTTCAGCTAACATTTAGAGTTGGCTTTGGAGTTTTAGCCTAATGTTTGGTTATGTTTTTTGCACGTTGCTATTGTTTTGTTTA